AAATACATTTATTAATATCGTGTTCAAAACATGAATTAAATGTTTTTATTCGTCTTTCTCTAGGTTTGTAAGACGAGTAAGAACAGTCATTGTACTTTACCTAGGTTATTTAGCGCGAATCATACATAATTTTACCGAATGTAGACATTTTGCATTACTGTGTACAGATTATGAGGATGAACTTGAAGTTGTTGCTGAATTCACTATCCTATGAATCAACAAAGACATTTTTAGCAGTGACACTAATATGAATTGAAAACTCGGGTAATTATGTGAATGCATCACGTTTCATAAGAAAATAGATTTGCAATATTGTGAAAATTATTTTGGAGTGTTTGAGTTTCATTTTTGTACACTTCTTCACCATATCGTTTTATTCAAAGGCAGTTTTGCATATTAGGTAAAAAATATAGAGTCCTTCTCTTGTACTTAGAATTGATTCAGTAGCTGAGATTGTTTTGCTATTTAAAAATCATGAAGATTTCGAGCTAATTATAGGTCTGTTATGATGTTAAATGCTTGGAGAGTGTTGGCTGGAAAACCTGCTCGACCTGGATTTCGTTCTTGCTAAGATTAATCACCAGGACATACCTTTTAGGGAACCGTTAGTTGTTATGAGATTCGAATCCGCACCATCCAGCTTCAAGGTTTATTATGTTACTGTTGGAGTTTTCGGAGCTCAACTAACTTCCTGTAGGGCTGTAATAATTGTAATTAATTAATCACTGAGTAGTAACCAATCTTTCATTTATCTAAGTGACTTCCGTTGATCAATGTGTAACGTGACCACTGGCTTGAATGACTTAGCATTGGCAGAAGTTAATTAACACTATAGGATAGATAAATATGGGACGGGTTAATTCTCAAAAAATCAACGAATTAGGCTATCAGTCTTTTCCCTATGTATACTTATACGTTGATTGTCTTTGTAATAATAATGCTGGATTTTAGAACGTAAGTTTACATGTCGTTTTGAAAGCGTATCATCTCTTGAAGTAACTAATAAAATCGTGAACGTTGGTTTTAAGAAACAAGAGTATTAAAAACTAAGCTCAGACTTATTCAACCAAAAATCTACATAACACTTTTATGCTTTTTAATGACATTAATAAATACTTGTAGCTCACGTTTTGAATTATATATCCTCTCCATACCAAAATTTTACTCAGTGGATGATAAATTCACTTTTGTAGGAGTAGAATCATGGTAACAAAAGTAAGATTACCATTTGACAATTTTACATTAACTACTACCAGTCTAGAAAAAGCTTTAGATATAGGAATCTTACTATCAGGCCTGGGAACGCTATTTTAATATCATAAAACGTAAGTTGATCTGATTTCTAATATATAGAGAAGAAAGAAGCTCATGGTATGAAGAATTAGAAATTATGAAAGAGGCTTGTTTCGTATTCTTGATAATACTGTTTTTATGAAGTGTTGATACATTTTTTCGCCAACTGTTATTTAAAAATGTTTGAATTAAAAACGTTTGACATGATTCGAATTATTTTTCTTCGATGAACTAAATCCCTACTAATTAGTAGCTAGTAGCCCATCTTTTCCACAGTAAGGATTGATCACCTCACGTTTAAAAGAATTATAAATGACTTTTAAATAAATGGAAATATACATAATTAAAGATCGTGTAAACCATCATGTCGATTGTAAAGAGAACATTCAGAAACTCAGACAAATACTCATCAAATTTATACGTATTGTTGATGTTAAGGGCTGCAATTGATCGGTCTCTTTTGACAATTCGCATCATGTGTCGTTTGCCTCGATACTGACATTAGGGTACAAGTATTTCTAGGCAGATATGGACAGTAACAAGCAGAGAAATCCAGGTATATTTTGTTGAAGAGTGCTAAATAACAGGGAACATACGTCCAGGAATTCGTTCCTGGTCAAAATCAATCTCGGCTTAAAATACTACTACAGTTATTTTGTACACAACATATAGTGTATTTTTCCATCCCACAACTTGGTTCTGTTAATTTTTAAAGTGAAGCAAATAGACAATTCGCATCGCATTCTCTCCCGAATGAATTGATTAACTATTTACCATCTTTGTTGCTGAATAAACCCATGAAGAGTGTAGCTTACAGATTTGTCCCCAAAATAGTCTTATCTTAATTATGACTAATCAACGAGACGTATTTGCATCTCACTGAACAATTTTTTTGCCACTGAAAACTGAGTGCACAGCTACTCACTCAAAATGCTTTAGGGATGGCAAACAATATACTTACAGGGAATATCGTGGTATCTATTTAGAGAAATACCATGCAAAAAGAGACTGAAGATTTTAGTCTTACAGACATCATTAGTAATAAACTTGAGAATCTTAACAACAATATAATGTGAATCTTCATATCTGATGATGATGATGATGATGATGATGATTATCAAAGCTACCAACAGCATAGAATAAACGGGTAACTGAGCGTAGCAAATATGTTTAATTTTAGAGTACTATGGAATCTCGATGTCTGAAACCTCTATTTTTCTACAAAAATGCTGTTTAGACAAAATATCACATTTAATTTCTCATTTGTACTGTACATATCATATCTGGAAGGCATCAGTAGGTGAAGTTTATCGTCAGTGATCGAATGATATATTTACCAGAAACAGAAAAATATAATAGTGGTGATAGAGTTTATTACTGTATTGTTCTTAATAGTAAGGATAATCCTTGTTTGTTACCCAGCATTTTACTTTCAAGAGACAGAATCTTGCTAAAAATGAAGATAGGAACAGTGAAAAAATTGATAGTGCATTAACCTGAAAAGAATGGTGAATGGCAAAAGTTCTAAGAAGCTGACTTACTTTTCAGCAGGTTGTTTTAATCACTAGATCTATAGTCTATCCAGTGATCACCAAAATATCGGTTAGTTAGATGATGTAGTCTAATCAAAACTTATTAGAATGGTTTTGCCACATATCAAACTGTAAGATCACTGAAGACGTCAGATTTAGATTTTACGTTTTCTTATAATTCATTAACAAAACTAGACTGTTTTAAACGGGTCGATGCATTGATGAGCATACATTTTATCTGACACTTAAGTAAAAGTTGATAGGTTTAACTATTTTGATTGTTTTAATAAAGCATCACAATATCTTTTATCACTAATTATTTATTTTTATTTGAGTTCATCTAATTGAAACCTAGTGTTTCTTCTCGGTTCACGCTAGCTTTGATTTATCATTTTATTTGCTAGTAGGTAGGATAGTGAAGAGAAGTAGAATGAGGTAGAATGTTTATTCAAGCTCTTATATATTTCTCTCCAACTTCTTACACTCAATTCGTCTATCACTTTGAAGACCACAAAATTGAGTTTTAAAAAAGTAAGATGTGAATACTTGATTTTTTCAATAATGTATTGATCTAGTTATAGTTATTAAAACTAATTTTACCAATAAGTTCAACTATCGTTTTAGTGAATGCTATGCTGTCTTTAGTGATACTCATATACATTAGTGATTCACAATGTAAAGCGAAAGACGTAATATAAATTAACACAATGTTATAACGAATTTCAAGTATCAATTAGTGTGTTTATTTGTTTTGTGTATATTTTAAATATTTACTATCATACTTATTACTAAATCAGTTAACCTATTTCTTATCACAAATGAAACAACCTAGCTTTTGATTAAATTAAGTTTCGAAATTTTTTTCACCTTACTCCCGAACAGTAAGTAGTATTCAAAATCGGTATTGAATTTTTGTGTGATATAACAAACGTTTCTTATAGAAGAAAATTACAAACTTAAATAAACCTTTAAACACAACACTGCTCAGTTGTTTTAAAGTTAAAGCTCCGTCTGTTGTTTCAGCAACTTTAGCAGATTACTAGATCATTGTGCTTTGAAGATATTAACCCGAAGCTCTCTATCATTACATTATTCTTTCATTTCTCTTCATAGATCATTCAAGTTAAATATGCTTTAATGTAGCCTTATTTAAGTCTAGGGACGTTTTTATTTTATACTACAAACGTAACCGACTACTTTATTCCAAAGTGAATATGATGAATATGAAATCAGATGCATGTGAAATGTTTGTAACTAGTCTCACGATAAAAGCTCACATTGTTATCCAAAATCTTTAGTAGCACACGGTGTTTTTAAATCACAGTCAACTGTTGTGTACTATTTATTTAAACCCAGTGTCACTGTTACAAGAATAGCCATATTTGCATTTTTGAAAAGTAATTACAAAATCAGTGAGACAAAGTAAAGTTATTTTCACAGTCTAAAGAAGAACTCTAAAAATAGCAGATAAAAGTTATCTATTATGGTTTAATGATGTGTTGGTTGTTATTCTCTTACATCTCTTAATGAGTGAAAGGACAAAGGATACGGAATAATATTATTTAAAGGAATGGGAGGATTTCCCTTTATTTGTTTACAGCATATAAAGTTGGTTTTAAAAAGAACTGTAAAGTTTTTATACTATTTGTTTTTAAAAAAAAATAAGAGCAAGCACTTATAAATATTTTTTGTATAGCTCATGACATTTCTAGGCACTAAAAATGTCATAACTGCAACTAACAGTATGGATCAGATAGCAATACAAATAGTGTATCTATGAGTTCATTAAAAATTACAAACGAACCTCAAGGTTATTATCAACCAAGTTGTTTTTTGATTCTGCTATTAACTTTTTTTTGAGTTGGTCGAAGATAAATTTCATGCTAACATAGTTTTGGAAACCAAGGGAAATATGATATTATTGAATTACTATTCATTCTGTTTTGGGTCTCCTACTCATTGACAAATGATAACCTCAAGAGGGAATAATCCAAACGGTTGCAAATCTTGTGTTGAGCACGTTATTAGATTTCCATTATTTCAAATTTTATAGTTTCTCGGTAACTTTATGAGTGATCCTTGAATCTTTCTATATTTATCTAAGCAGTGGACATTTCTTTACCATTTACTTGATATTTTTTGAACTATTGTAGGTGACACAAATAGCTTAGTCAAATGTTACATATAACAAACAAAAATGAAAGTAAATTGTTTTTTTTAATATTCAAAAATCTGTAACTAGCCATAAAATGTTCAGATAAAGAGCCCTTCGTGATGAGACGTTACAGTGGACAGAAAAATGTGTCAATTATCTATGATCTTGACAGAGATCATAACCCATCGTTCAACCAACAGCGTCGGAGTTTTAATAATATCACAAGTAAGAACAAATAGCATACTTTACATTGTTAATCAATACTATTGATAGTATATACACTTTGTTTCACTTAAAAGATATTAAACAACTGGAAACATTTAGTATTAATCAATATCTGAAACTTCTGTGTTGCATATTAGGGTCACTGATAGTTTAGAGTATTAATAAAAAATGAGAATTCGATTAAAACAGTATGCTCCAAGAAACGTGAGGCTGCGAGGGACTAGGGCTCTCAACAGTGCAATAGCTCGGCATTTACTTGACACCGGGCATACCATCGACATTCCTAACGCTTTTAAAATTATCAGCAGACAAAGGAATACAACTGCTCTCCGTTTTGCTGAAGTGATCGCGATAAAAAAACTTAAACCGGATTTATGTATTCAAAAAGAGACAGTAGTAAACTTATTATTACCCTGGTAATCCATTTTTGTTTTATTTTTATTATTTTTTGGTTATTTGTGTTAGTTTATTCATTTATTTAGTGTAAAATATTTATTTGGTGTTATATTCCTCCCCCATTACCGAATTCTTAAGCCAACTTTTCATTCATACATTTCCGCCCACTTACCCTCTTAAATTATGTTAACTTTTCAAACTCTATTCAGTTATTACGTAACCTATCTTATCACTATTTAATTCCATGAATCCTTCACTACCTCTAAAATTACCACACAATTTATGAACTCCAGTCAACTACTGAACCACCCATCCTGGATTGTTTCCTTAATTCTAACACCAATTATATATATATATATATATATATATATATATATATATATATATATATATATATATAATATATATATATATATATATATATATATATATATATATATCAATTGCTTCACACTATTTCTTATCTCAATGTAAAATTCTGTTACATATTTGGTTGTAAGCAGCTAACGCGAAACCTCGAAATATTATGAATTCATACTATTCTGCATCAATTTTTGTTCTTGCTTTATTTAAATTCATAAAGGGAACTAATTGCATGAAATTTTTAAGACAGTATACTTTATGCACGCTACGTTTTCTAAAATGTATGTATTACTACTTGTACTTCACAGTGGGTACATTTATTATGTCGGTTAACCGTTATACTGTTAGTTTTATTATTTTTAGTATTATTATGGGTATATCCTAATTTCTTATGTTGGAGACGTGAATCTAGCTCAGTGATAATCATGAGCTTATTATGTAGTGATAGTACACGGGATGGAAATACTTCAACCGTTTTGTAACACTATGTTCTACTGAACGACAAATAAATATTGTCTTTCAACAATATTTTTCAACTCTGGTTTATTATTTTACATCATTTCTGTATTGTTAGCTGGGAAACAATTTTGAAGAGATAGGGTACAATAATAAGTGGGCAGTAATGTAAGGAATAAAGAAAAGATAAAGGTCAATAAGGGACAACGTATTCTAGGTCTTTCAGGATTTTCTTCAAGAGGGTTTAAAATGCAAAATTAAAAATTTATGATTGGTCCAGAAATTTCCGAAATTTTCTTGTTTTCTTAATTACCACTAATGACATCAAAGATCCAAACAGTTACATGATATCTTCCGAAGGCAGAACTATAGGTATGTGCTTAATCTGAATAATTTTTATTCGGTACATGAAATCTGTTTTGTTTTCACTTTCTAGATAGGTTTATTTTGACTTACGAAGTAAAGAATAGTTTTTATTTACATTTCCATAAATTAAGGATAGCATTGAGTGTTTCATCGACAGACTGTCTTATAAACAGCTGATTGTGACAAAGAAAAAGAGTCAAAAAGACAGTTTACTGAATGAATAAGTAACTATAACACGTGAGATTACTCTCAAACAGCTAAAAGAATCTATACCTAATTAAAAGTCACATTATTTCAATCATAATAAAAATCACTTTTCGCGGATGATCGTTAAATTAAGTAGTTATATAAATTTCAAAATTATAAAAGGTGTGTTCATGTGATTGTTAATTAGTTAAAAAGATTTTTTTAACAAAACCAAATCAATATGGAGTCGATTCCTTGTGTTCAAACTTGAAAAATAATAGTCATTAATACAAATTGAATTTAATATTTGATCGATCGTAAATCCAAAAGTGTGGCTAATCATAATGTGACATATGTAGCTTTGGTCTTGTTTCTTACTTATATCGTCAGAAATTCACTATATGATGAATATTACCATGATAAAAACTTTATTTCGTTCAGCAGTAACGTTTCCTACTGTAAAATTTAATGACGTAAGTGTAAACGTTTAGTTGGTGCATGCCAACTAACACAACTACAGACGTTATAACTTTCCGGTGATTTTTATGAATCACTTAAGCAAACTTCAATTTCCATGACGACATTTTATGACAAATAAACATGTACATTTTTCTGTATTTACTCTTGCACAATTATTACTGTATTAATAAATTTAACCATATTACCAGCAAGCTTTCATTTGATGTGCTGTTTTTGAAAGACTGAAGGATTTGTTAGTTCGAACTTAAGATCGGAAAATAACCTTTAGATGAACACTTGTCTTTAGTTACAGACTATATTTCTATATCTTGGAAAATATGTAGGTTATTGAGCTTTAGTATTATTCTGTCATTTTTTAATTGGAATAAAGTATAGTGATTAGAAAGACCATTATATTCACTGTAGGATTATTAAGCTCCTTATCTGAGGTATTTTGAGAACACCTATAAACAAATGTACCCGGTGTAATATATTTTAATCACCACTTTTGTTATTTAGACCATCTTTTCCAAAATGTTTTCCTTTTTTATCTTTTTATTTATTAAATTGTAGTTGTCCCAGTTAAAGAACGACAGAGACGTTTATCGTTTCGAGTGAGTTGTTGTGAACCGACTTCTTTTTATACAGCAACAAATATATTTGTATTTTACTATTCTTTTTATCATGAGATAACAGTATGAAGGTAGCTAAACATATCGATTTTTTAATGCAAACCTCGGTTATAAATTTTTTGAGTTATCAATTCTTTGTTTAAAGCGTGTCAATAGTTAATTCATTGGATAGACATAACACGTATAATATGAAAGCAGTTTAGTGAAGGCTTATTTTTAGCATCAGTCATGTGAGCTGTCATGTCTCTTCAACCAATCAGATTATCTGCTGATTATAGTGTAAAATGTAAATGTACAGTGCTAACATCAGAAACTTGTTTGTTTTTATCACATTAAAACTGTTTTAAAGTTATGCATTATATCATGGCTAAAAGAATAATAATAATAATAAATTTTACAAACTATATAAAATAACATCACTGGTTAGTGTATAAGTGTTTACCATAATCTTTGGCCTTTTCTGTATCGAATTTAAACAAGAAATACAACATAGGAGTCTGATGTAGGAGCTTCAAACTATAATATAGCACTATGTCAAAGATTCAATGACCCTTACCGAAGGCTTTGAAGATATCTGTTGGTTGAGATAGTTATTGTAATGGAAGTGCATGCTATATTAATGAACAAACTGCTAAATACTAAACATTTGCGGAAAAATTAAGTATTATGAGAGTACGTTCAAAACAGCTGAATAAAATAAGCAGTGAGCTTTGGATATCAAGCGACGTTTGATAAAAAGGTGTTTTATTTTTATTTTCCATTAAACTAAATATAAAAAGTTCTAAGCTGTGCATCAGGCCGTTTAATTACTTTTCAATAACTAGGCCTTGTAACATCATCTTACTGATCGTTAAACAAAAACGAATTTTCAGATTTTTGATATAACCAACCAACGACATTTTTCGTTAACATTTGTAATAACGTCATTGTAGTTAGTGTGTCAGTCACGACGTAGAACCTATAGTGTATTCATCGGTTGAAGTTACCACATCCCATTAACACATAGAGATGACGTTATAAGGCCAAATCCAGGAATAATAAAGGTAGTAATAGCATCAGTGGTAATGGGGAAGATTAATCCTAGAAGATACGATTGAAGAGAAAAATACAGGTTATTGAAATACAAAAAAAATTGTGGGAAATTTAGAATCTCAAACTTTGGGGGAAGACAAAGAACGGATGTACCTGCACCATTGCAAAAGATTTTGAGTTATATCATTTAAAGTCTCTAGCTATTGGGGACGATAGTCACGTGGGCCTTGACCAGGTAGTCTACACCTATTAAAGTGGCTCAGTTCAAGGACTTCATGAACCAATGCCATGATTTGGTTTGGATGGCCTTATATTTCTTCCGGCCTACTCCTACACTAGGAGGAATCGCCCGTCGTAGATGTTTTTATCATATTGACAGTTGGTAGATATTTTTTAGTATAATTTACTTGTATGTCTTGAAAAGTTAGTATCATTCGCTTGCATCCTGAGCTAAATGTGCTTTCAAGTCAACAGAAAAAAACAATTATGACATCAAACAGATGAGTTTTTCAACGTTACACCACTCTCTTGCTTTATATTTTCTTCATAAGCAATCAAAACATATGATTGATTGGTTTATTTTGACCTACTGGAAGATTAATTTAAGTGCTAAAAGATTAAGATGTAGTCAGTGGTAAAAAAGCTCAAAACACAAACATTACTGACTAAATAGTTTGCAGTAATACAGTGTGATTATTGGAACCTCATATCAGCTTAAATTTGACATATTACGTAGAACTGGTAACTACCGAAGTGTAACATAAAGTTCTTGTTTATGTAAATCTAACTGTTAATTATGAAATATTCTGCATGAAAATCGGTGTTTTTCTCACCATAAGTAGTAACAAAAGCAAAAAAGTAAAGGACTAATTTATAAACTCTGATAGAACCTCGATCGTTGAAATTTTTTAGATTCTTCGAGAATATGTAATGAAAATGAACAAACATTACTAAACATTTTTGTCTATCACCATTTTATTCTGTACATTGGCTTTATTGTACTAACCGAGGATTTATATATGATACTTCCAAACACTTACAAGTAGTATTACCGAATTTTGTATTGACGACATAGTGATAAATTGTGCATCTGAGAACAGATTAGTTATGATATTAGATATAAATAAAATGAATACAATGTAAATAGTTTGTATTTACTTCTCATTTAGTAGTTAAAAAAATACTTTTCGCTGCATACTAAAATGTATTTTCAGGGCTCTCTAGAAAATTCCGTGGGGTTTAATTAACTCATTACCATTAATCCATATTCGAAAGTGTAAATAATTGTTTCGAAGTTTATCGATTCTGCGTTAGATTATTTAAAAAAAGTGTGTGCTCCATTATATATTTTTAAGGTAGTTGAAAACAGTTATATAATTGCTCAAATGATGGTAAGTTCTCATAAATACAACCGCTAAGCTAAAGGGGACTTAGATAATGAATGGAATTGAAGTATTCGAGGCTCATTTATTCCTACTTCGGACCTATCAGCTAGATGCACATGCATTATAGTGTTGACACTCATATCGAAGCTCGAATAAGTGCCTTGCGCCCAACGCCTTATCCACTGAGCTACTGAGTTGAGATGGTCACTAGCTTGTCCAAAAAATTTTAAGTCATATATACGTTGAGGTATGAGTTTCCAAATTGCTGATATTAAGCACTAACGAGGAGCAAATACGTGTGTCAAGAATGCCACTGCTAGCCATACTTCATCTTTACTAAAACTTAAACTCAAATGAAATAATGAGGAAATTCACCAATAATTCACATATGCGAAAAGTCGGAACAAAGCCCAGTCCTTAATATTAACACCAGGATAATTCAACATTAATGATAATAATAATAATAATGCTAACAATAGTTCAACAAGTTAGTATCTACCTCAACTCATAGCTATGTGGATAACAGAAGGAAAATTGTTCAAGTACAAGTATGAATATCAACACTAGGATGCATGTTCATTAAGCTGAGGAGTCCTAAATAAGATGAAATGTTTACCCTAAGTTCTACTGAGAGCTAGAGTCCATCCATTATTATTTACTGTACTCAGTGAAAATAATGTATTAATTCTCAGTAGATTTTTGTAATAAAAAAATTATCATAATATTATCTATTCAATTTTAAAAATATCCCTCTTCGACTTGCTTTCAGATTTAGTAATGTTTCCTGTAAATGTGATCGAATAAATCTTATTAAAAGACTTTCAAAATATAATTTTAATGCCTATAGCATCGTGTGATTTTTGCAAATTATGATCGTAATGAATACCAAAATAGGTGTTTTTTTATTATTGTCAGTCTCGTTATTTATATGTCAGCTAGTTAAACAACTTTTAGCGTGGATTACATGTTGGATATTTTTATTCTGAAAGCAAACTCTCCAGGTCTGATCCATTGTATACCATTTGAATAAAGGTCCCACAACTAATTAAGTATAAAAATAAATTATAGTAGAAATATTATTCAGTAGGTGCAACAAAATGCATAGACATGTATTTACTAACCAATACATTTACAGACATTCTAAAACAATAACCAACCAGTGAAAAGACAAAACACAACCTACTTTCTGCTACATGGATATCAAATAATAAAATATATATTCTTAAATAGGAAACATGTAACACTAGTAGTACATTTCCCATTAGTAAATAGTAAGTAATTTTGATGATATCTGATAGAATAAGTTATACTTTACTTTTCTTCGTAAATCGTAGTGAGAATGTATAGAGTATTCAGATTATTATGATTTTAGCTTAAACCTATTGTAATTTTAAATGTGGATTATTGAAGATACGCTCTGAACTAACTAGATATAATTACTCTGAAAGTATCTTCCAGCCATATATGGTACCATAAGGTGTTATTATCGAATAACCATTGAAAAAAACTCCATTTTCACATTGTGTTTTATTCGAGCATATTATCTGAAGTTAGGAAATTATGTTAACTACGTCGGTCAACACGTACTACACTGACGTTTCCCACTCTATGCTGATTTTTCAGGAAAATCAAACAGTGTATAGATGTATTACTTTCACTCTTTCATTTCTTAGGTTGTAGCATGAAATACATCCGAACAGTAAAGTTTTGTTCGAAAGCGAATTTTAGCATAGATTTTTAGTTTGATAAACTGTTATGATTAGACAACAAATTTGTCTTCCAATCCTAGTCTAAAAACGCCAAAAATTTATTCTTATCCGTCTTGTATGTGTTTTAGAGAGACAATCAAATTTCACTGGAACCAATTCAGCATGAAATTAGTAAGTTAATACAATACGTTTTTGATTGTAGGTATCAATACCAAGGTTTGACTTGATAATTTCGAGTAAATTAAGCATTGGGTAGATTGACTTGTTCAGATCTGTTTTTGATTGATCGCACATAATATTCTTGCGTTGGTCCTTTGTACTATTTAAACTTAGAATAGTTTTGGTTTGGTTATTTATTCTCTAAAGTAGTGGCTTACACTGAGTCATGAAACGTCAGAAAGCCTAATTTTTTTACTCATTGGGATATTACAAATATATTCTACTCACGTTTCCAATTGTTGTGTTTATGACGAAATAGAATCTTTAAGTATGTAAACTTTTGAAGATATATAAGCGATTATTTGTTTCAGACTTTGCTAAAGAAAACCTCCAGTGTTTCTGTCCTTTTTAACGGATTTCTCATGCTTTAGTCTTCTTTATAATGCAAATTATTACTGTCTAAAATTTATTCACGAATCTCTATTTTTGTTTTTTAGTTTTCGTTTTGTATATTATGGAATTTTGAAAACGAGGTTTAAGGTTTGACTTATTTTGTCCCATTCATCTGCACTGTGCTTTTTTACTGAAAACAAAGATATCCTTCTAAATTCAACTTCTCGGATTCCTTCTTATCGGAAGAACAATAATTCTTATATGTTAAGTTTAGTTCGATTTCACCGATATAGTATTAAACCCTTATCAAACTTTTTCCGCATACAAAACAACAAAGACGATAGGTGTAGTAATATCTAGGGAACTAAGAATAAAAACTCGAAAATATTATACATTAACTAAAAATAGTGGAAGCGATGAATGATTTTGTCATCGATTACATAGTAAACAGTTTATCGCGTCCAAACGGTTGTGCTTGGATAAGAAAAGCTGTGAATTCAAGTTGGATGGAATTTACAAAAACAACGACTAAAAACTTATGAGATCTTACTGATGTTGTTGCCTTAATCAGAAGTACTTCAGAAATTAAAGCTTATCATTTATTAAAAAAGGACACGCAAATACACACAGATAATATATCATAAAAGCTTGTAAAATAATCAGGACATACAATAATGTAACAGAATATCTTTTATCAATAAGTCATGAAGGGTTATTTGATGTACATTATCTTACTCAACATTAGAATTGTTACCTCTGCATACGATTTCTTTTGAATACAAATCCGGTTGGATATTTATTATTACATAGCATATGTAGAACATTTAAATATCACTAGTAGGAAATTCCATTGTATTTCCTCAAGAGTCTAGCTAAAGTTTAGTGCACCCATAGGAAAAACAGAAATTTTCCAATCGGTCATTTTGGTTCATCAAAGCTAATAGAGTTGTCCTTCAGTCCACAATGTAAAAATGAGACGATTCATTTGTATGTGAAGTAGTTAATGTATTAAAGTTTCTAGTGTTTACGATTATTCTATGGGTTTTAGTTAAACATAATGATAACACAAATAAAAGATTTCACTATGTATATATCGCATTAAAGGCCAAAAACGATAGAGTAAACTGAAGTATAACAGTGAATCATTTTAAGTTGTACATATTGAAGACATTAAAATTTTGATTTTAAAGTTATGAGGATAAAGTAATCTAATTTATTGTATGTTTGATATTTTATAAAACCATTATTTCATGATTTTTGTTAGCGTTATCTTTAAACGATACACTAAGTGTTAATCGAATCTCTCAGCTAACTGATTTCACCACATTTTGCATGACACCCCATAACCTAGACACAAAGCCTTTTGCAGAAACATTTGGAAATATCGCAAAAATTAATAAGGTATTTAGCAGTTATCCGGGATTATATATCAAATAATTATCGTGTTTTTTTACTTGATATTTGTATAATCTCATAATAATTTACTTCCATAAAAACAGGGAACTATTCTTTTAAATAATAATAAAGTATTTCACAATATTTTGATTATCCTCAGTAAGGTCACTCTGAACTGAATTTCGTTCCTGGTCAAAATCAATCTCGGCTTAAAATACTACTACAGTTATTTTGTACACAACATATAGTGTATTTTTCCATCCCACAACTTGGTTCTGTTAATTTTTAAAGTGAAGCAAATAGACAATTCGCATCGCATTCTCTCCCGAATGAATTGATTAACTATTTATCATCTTTGTTGCTGAATAAACCCATGAAGAGTGTAGCTTACAGATTTGTCCCCAAAATAGTCTTATCTTAATTATGACTAATCAACGAGACGTATTTGCATCTCACTGAACAATTTTTTTGCCACTGAAAACTGAGTGCACAGCTACTCACTCAAAATGCTTTAGGGATGGCAAACAATATACTTACAGGGAATATCGTGGTATCTATTTAGAGAAATACCATGCAAAAAGAGACTGAAGATTTTAGTCTTACAGACATCATTAGTAATAAACTTGAGAATCTTAACAACAATATAATGTGAATCTTCATATCTGATGATGATGATGATGATGATGATTATCAAAGCTACCAACAGCATAGAATAAACGGGTAACTGAGCGTAGCAAATATGTTTAATTTTAGAGTACTATGGAATCTCGATGTCTGAAACCTCTATTTTTCTACAAAAATGCTGTTTAGACAAAATATCACATTTAATTTCTCATTTGTACTGTACATATCATATCTGGAAGGCATCAGTAGGTGAAGTTTATCGTCAGTGATCGAATGATATATTTACCAGAAACAGAAAAATATAATAGTGGTGATAGAGTTTATTACTGTATTGTTCTTAATAGTAAGGATAATCCTTGTTTGTTACCCAGCATTTTACTTTCAAGAGACAGAATCTTGCTAAAAATGAAGATAGGAACAGTGAAAAAATTGATAGTGCATTAACCTGAAAAGAATGGTGAATGGCAAAAGTTCTAAGAAGCTGACTTACTTTTCAGCAGGTTGTTTTAATCACTAGATCTATAGTCTATCCAGTGATCACCAAAATATCGGTTAGTTAGATGATGTAGTCTAATCAAAACTTATTAGAATGGTTTTGCCACATATCAAACTGTAAGATCACTGAAGACGTCAGATTTAGATTTTACGTTTTCTTATAATTCATTAACAAAACTAGACTGTTAACATGATAAGTAAAAGACCATGTTCATTAATAACAAAACATATAATCGAATCATAGGATAGAACTAACGTTAGTTCACCTTTTGAAAATTTGTGTACAAACTTTCAAGGATGAATTATTATGTTTGTAGGAGTCTTTGCTATTCACATATCGAAGCCAACTTTATGAGTACAGTGAAAACACCGTAATCATGAATTTCAACCGGTAACCTTTAAGTGTCGTAGCTGGAAATTTCTTGACATAGCTTTTTCACTGACTAGCCTTCACCAGCCGTGTTTTCTGTAATTACAATGAAGTTTGTTCCCCTTTTCCTTTAGAAATGACAGTCAGTGTTCTTATTAGAAACCGAAGAGATGGTATCTGCGGATGCCGGATTGTACCGTACAGAATTAACTTGCACGGACAGACCATAGATACTGACTGCCATTGATCAATAAAAGCTGCGTGCACAGCTTATTGTCAGTGAATTTTAAAAATGTATATCGAACAAACTATACTTTTATATCAAGTCATGCATTCTAAAACGCGGACGTAAGGCATAATGACATAGTTCATTTCGACAATAGGACTTAACAACATGAGGTTGTTGGCTACTCAGAGATGCTACACACTACATGATATCGCATTATGTACTTGTACATTTTTAAGCATTATAAATCTGCTGACTAGAATGTGCTATTTCTATTTTGTCCGTTGGGCAACTGAAATGATGAATTATTATTCCTTAACGTTACTTAATTACTTACGTCTGTTAACCGTCGTGGAGGAACCTAGGTCACACACCAGCATTCCACAGCCAACCCTGTCCTCACTCATCCTTTGCAGCTATCTCCAGTCGCCGTTCATTCTTTCAATATCTGCTTCCGATTCTCGAAACAATGTGTTTCTCGGTCTTCCTCTTTTCAGTTTCCAAGTTTTCCAGATTCCAATTCAGCGCTCACCTCACGACATAGTCTGATGATTTCCTCAGTGTATGTCTTATACACACCCAACGCGTTTGCCCAAGTTCCTCTTCAGATGAAAGTTGGTGCGTTCTCTCACACAGTAGATTGTTGCTGATGGTATCCGACCAACGGACGTTGAGTATCTTGAGTAGACAACTGTTTATAAATACCTGTACTACTTCGATGTTGGTTGTGGTAGTTCTCTAGGTCTCATCTCCGTACATCGAGACTGTCTCGACGTTCGTATTGAAGATTCTGAATTTTGTGTTGGCATGCATACAGTTGTTTTGAGTTCCAAATATATTTGAGAAATCATCGGTTGACACATCTTACAATCTCCAAACATAATAATTTGCTGTCATTCAAGTACAAACGATAATTCAATCAAATTACCTAGAACTAATCATGTTTTTTTTACAGTCACGTAACATCTTTCTTGTAATCAAGGAAGGTGATGTATTGTGATGATTTCTATTCACTTGAATGCTAAGCAATGATCCACAGTGTCAAGTCTTTTTTGATGCACTTTTGATTCTTACGGAAATTGGTCTGTTGATCTCAAAGTTTGATGTCTACTGATGTTAACGTTACATAATACTCAAATAAATATTTAACCAATTTGTTAGTTAATAATATTATTGTTTTATAAAATAGGAGTATTCGACCAGAAATAACCATGTTTTCTCTTGAAACTTAATTAAACAATCATATATATATACATATATATGCTACTTTTGAAATGTTACATAACTAGAATATGAATTAAATTTTGCTTACATCAAAATTTTACACAGATTGCTTATGCGTTTAGCATATTTGTTCTAAGTTATAGGTTTGAAATTTTATTTTTAATCACTGTGACATTTTAGTTTCCAGTTAAAAGATAGTTCTGTTCAACTGTTTTATAGACCTGTCAAAGAAAACGCATTCATTTTGCTTGAATCTACCAGTCATTACAATAGACAGTCGAAGAGTTGTGAGCAAACTTTCCGACAATACTGTTTATTACAGACCAATGAGAAGCTGCAATTTGAGTTATGGATTCATTTTGTCTGAGGAGACTTCAAATAATGGAGACGATGTTTCTGATAAATCCAGGAAACCTCGTTCATCTGCTTCTTCAAGTTCATCAGTATCGATATCAGGATCCGTGCCAGCTTCAACATCATCATCAGCATCATTTAATCAAAGAAAACATGTAGTAAAAGAATTAGTGAAAACACAAGTAGACTTTGTATCAGATATGAAAAATGTCTTGAATGCATTTGATTCTGTTGGTTTAACGGTAATAAACAACTTATTTTACCTCTGTTTTATTCACAGTCTTTTTATTACTTTTTCAAAAAATTACAATTTCAAACGTCATTAGAGATGAAAATGCATAATGAATATTCATTAATTCACATTTTAAATCGCTTGATTTTATTTCAGTGTTCTGGACATCAGATTTAGAAATAGTTAAAAAAATTATACAAAATATCTTTACAAGTGATGTCGTAATCTCTCTTCACATTATTTTGAAAACAAAACGGTTATCACTAACACTGACATAATTATTTTGATGTTGAAAGGAATGTTATGTAGTTTTGCATATTTCTGCAGTACAAACGATAATTTAGTAAAACAACACCAAACTACTAAGTATAGATTATCTACAATGTCGTCTGAATATCAAAAACTTCAGAAAATCATGTAAGTATACAAAAATTATTTAGATTCATTTTAGACAATCTAAGAAATAAAGATGTGTTAATTAACAGTAATCTCGAAAAGTTGAAAACCCCAATTTCCCATAAAAAAGAGAATCCACATCGTCGAGAAATAAAACAAGCTTACTGACTTTTAGATGATCTGGTCACATAACTGCTTAAGTTGATGGGCATATGACGAAATGATAGTTTATGTGCCAACCTGTATCGTACCCATAAATGGAATTAATAACTCCATGCAAAATATAGATTTATTAAATGTTTTTACCACAGTAGTTAAACCAACATGTTTGTGTGAATATTATTGTTCAGTCTCTTACTTTACAGTAACCTGAATCACAGTAACATTATCAGAATTAAATAAAAATAATATATTTGTAATATCCCAATGAGTAGAAAATTGGATTTTCTGACGTTTCGTGGCTTAGTGTAAGTCACTTCTTCAGAGAATAAATAACCAAATTAAAATTAATCCAAGTTTAAATAGTACAACGGAACAATGCAAGAATAATATTTGATCAATCAAAAAACAGGTCTGAACAAGTTGATGTCATGTCATTTCTGTCAAGGTGATTCATAAGTGATAAGTATGTAAATTTGTGTGTGTATGTATATGTGCGTTGTTTAAGAATGAATTTTAATTTGGTTATTTATTCTCTGAAGAAGTGACTTACACTAAGCCACGAAACGTCAGAAAATCCAATTTTCTACTCATTGGGATATTACAAATATATTATTTTTATTTATAACAATCAACCCAATGCTCAATTTATTCGAAATTATCAAATCAAACCTTGGTAATGACACCTACATTATCAGATTTAAGTTTCATTACTGGACTAGGGGTGGTAATCACGCGAAACATACCGCTTATTTGTATTTTGACGTTGAGGTGAATAGAAATTAGGAATTATCAAATTGATAGCCTTCGCAAAAATATTTGAACCGTCATGAGTACTACAGTTTAGATGAGAACACATTCAATAGTGGAAACTTCATGCAGTTATCTGTCATATCGAAGCTCTCCGATCACAGATGGATTAAACCTAATTCTTTACAAGTTGTTGATCTAATAAACATTTACTGGTTTCCATGTTAAAATTCCGCAAGCATGTATATAAACATAAACGTCTATTGGGAATAAGTTCTCGTTTACTAAATAAAGAAATCGATTCCCTCCTTCATTACTTTAGCGTCAATTCAACAAATTTTCACCGAGCAAAATAGTAATTTATCTCTCCATTGTATGTGTATACAAAATCAGGTTACTGAATCCAATCGATATTCATTGTTGGGAAATTTGGATCAATTGGTATGTGTTTCTGATGATATTTCAACGGAGTTACAAAAAGAAATATCTACATATAGTGATGACCAACTTGGTAATGCATGTATCGGTAAGATGTTAGTTAGCACATGTATTCTTATATATCTTATTTAAAATTACCCCATTTGAAAATGTTATATCTTTAAAGCAGCTGAATGTGTAATACAACTTTTTCAATAAAATGTATATACTTTAGACATTGCCACGTTAGGATTGTCCTTAAAATGATTACGTTAATTACATATGACTTCATTTCTGTGAGCCTATGTTATGATGAAACCATATTGCTCTTGTCACTTTTTTATCACTAAAGTCGAAAATTATTTCAGCGGAAATGGTTTAAACTGTTTAAGGAGAATAATGCTCAGGTTTACAGCTTTCATTCAACTCCAGAAATCTTGCTAAACGTATCTGGCTCGGTATTTATTTGTATACAGATGATCATAATACCAGTAAAAAGTCATGTAATAGTCTCGTCGTATGTAATACTTATTTACACTATAAGCACAAAGACTAGGATTTTAGTGAATAAATTAATGTTAAAAATTGTCTTTTGGAAGAAAGAAAATTAACGTGAAAATGGTTAGAATTTTTTGTAGATTCAGAAATATGATATTCCAATTACTTGAGTTAGCGATTTTAGGAAAACCAGTATTGATTGCGATTATATATGTAGTAATTATCTACTAGCTAAACTTATTATAAGATGATGTTTTTATATATATTCTTAAGATAATGTGATATATATTGCTGAAAATAGTTAACTAATATACTTGATTTTTTTTGTATGCGGCTGTGGATACAACTTCTGCCTTATTTTAATAGCTACATGTATAAATTCATTCAGATCATCTATAAATGAAGCATTGAAGACGTATATCTTAAATTTTTCAGTAGATGCTTCAACAAAGGTTAGTTAATTACTGTTATTCATTGATTGATATATTGAGTAATAACATCTGTTCTCTTTCTGAGTCTCATAAATAAAAACACAATTCTTCAACATGTTTCGTGTAATAATTCAATTTTGTGTTTAAGTTTAGATGAGAAAATTGGTTTATACTATTGGTCGTATTTTTGGTAAAAGATTGACATATAAATTGTGGACTATCTAATGCCATACATATAGGTTATTAATCAACCGCGTTTTATAAACTTGTATTATGCCACATAATATTTAATGTCCTTACAAATCGATAGATGATAATAACCCACTAAAATGTAGCACACTTAGTAATATCCATTGTTTATCAGTCATCATAAAAAATAACTAGTTACCATAGTTTAAGTGGATCGGTAGCACAGAGATTGATATGGAAATTTTGGAAAGTTTCATGAACAACTAAACAATACTATAACAATTGAACATAATCTACTAAACGAAGTTCAACAACATTCTAAGTTACACTTATATTTCTGTTTCTTCTTGGCAGAAGACTGTGACATACCTATCAAATGATATAAAATTACTTCAACTATTTTGTCTTTGTATTGAAATGAATATATTTTTCTTTTCAGAATACAGAAATTCAAACATTTTCCGTGCTTGGTTTCAAAAATCTTCAAAGCGAACGTCCAAATATATTGACTTTAAATGATGAATTAATCAAACCAGTTCAAAGATTAGTTAAGTTAAAACAACTGTTTGAATTATTGAAAGATGTGAGTACGTATACAAAAACAAATATTTAGATAAGAAATCTATTACATCCATTGATTGATTCTCGTTCATGTCGTTTGATTGAAGCTTAAAAAACCACTTGATACTCTTATTAATCAGACTAGAAAAAAACAGTGTATATTAAGGGTCAGCTAATTTATTACTTTTATTTCTAGCGACTAATTATTTTTGTATTTTAAAGAGACTTTTTTAAAAATATTTATTTATTTATTATTTAAAGACATAAAATTTGGTACAAGGAGACCCAAAAGATATATGCGTTATACAAATCATTAGATTTGTGTAGGGGCTCGGATACCTCCCGGACGCCCGAACCGAAGCAGGTCGTTTTTTTAGAGATAAACTCTCCGAGCCTTTCACCTAGAGGTCTAATCCACCATTCAGTGGAGTAGCGTTAGTAGACACAATCTCATAGTAACCGGCAATCAACAGTGGGTTTGTATACCTTTTAGTCCCTCAGGATTGTGAAGCCCATGTGCACCACAGGTTTGAAATCAAGACTTTCCAACTCCTCTAGGTGGATCCTTCATATTCAACGATCCAGTTAAAGTGCTGGACATTAGATTCTCGCCCTCTCAATTTCGTAAACAACACTCCCGTCACAAGAAGGCAGTGGCTGTATACGCGTGACCATGCGAGAGCATTTTGAAAGAGAGAGCTGACTCCCCCCTCGCTCGGCCATGCAAGGACATTTGCTTTTTATAAGTATCTTTTATTCATTGTTTAATTTCATTCTTAGCCTTTACTCTGTTTTTTTTTCTCACGAAATATTCTATTATAGATTAATATGTAAACATAAACGAGACGTATTAGGATTTAGCCTTTACTCAATAATATAGCGTCAATATCTTGAACTCCTGTTGTGAAAATTTGAATTCGACATTTAAGATTTAAAATATATTGTAAGCAGGCACAATATTTATCATGTTAAATATTCACTATTTGTAGAACAGATTAGTTTTTATCTAGCATCTAATATAAATGACAGTTTTACTACAGAACTAACTACTCTATATGTCACAGTTCTATATCAGGACCTTTGTTCGAGTATTTTGAAGCTAATTAGTAATGAATCTATGGTTTTTATGTAATTATGTGGCCGTATGAAAATGTTTATACCGTAAGTAGTCATCATAAATACGACATCAGTCAAAGAACTATTTATACAATTATTTTATGTTCGATATTTAGGTAACACCGATAAATCATCCAGATTGTTTGGCAACTACGCAGATGTTCAATAACTTTGATCAATTAGCCTATGAAGTGAATGAAGTCAAACGATGGAAAGAGATTTGTAAGTATTCATTCAAGTTGTCTAACTTCTACATGTATCTCATAGTTACATTTCTATTTTTTAAATATAGTATTATAATATATCTAAATAAATTTTTACAAGATGCACTGTCAAACAGCTTGATTTTAAATATTTGTAGTTAAATACAAATACATAATGAAAATATCACGAGCAGATAATTGTTCTGAAACAAAGCAACCATATCAAAAAGCAGATTAGGACCACTCATGACACCAGATTACCAATGGGATATAACTCAAATCGACTGAAGTTCAAGAAGTGAAGGGTTGAATTTCTACTCAGTATTTCAGCGGAAAGCTACTTTCAAATAGTTTTAACAAACTCAGATCTTGCACCTTCAATCCATCTGAAACCTTAAGGAAGCTGGTGTTTATCTAGTATTAGCACTTACCTCATATACCGTTATCAAGCCATAATTCCGAATATAATAATTTTATTTATCCTTACAGACCCATAGATTATTTGGACGAAGAGACACTTTCGTCAAAAATTACACAGAAGTCAGATTTTATCCATGAGGAACAAAGCGGTCAAACACTAATTGTCATTTACTAAACTATTATAATTTTGATGCCCGTATATACTATTCAATTTTTAACTCCACTGATTATTCAGCTGAACGTAGTTTTAGCTTCGGAAATAAAGTCATATTGTATTGTAAAAATTCTAACTGTTGTTATTTAGTGAGTAAGTTATAGCATGATATCAAGTGTTCCATCTTAAACCACATATTATAAAGAAGGTGTACAATGAATGTAATAAGAATTCCCCTAAGTAATTATGCAAAACGCATTATCATTGAACATTGTGGATATTTTGACAATCTTTATGTCGTTGACTATCTCTAAGTCCTAAATAACTGTGTTTATGCATGGTATGACATTTAAATGTTTAATAAAATCTTAGGATGAAACTGAAAAGCTTTAGAACTTATAATGTCATATTGTATGAAATTATGCATTAGGAACTAGCACATAGATTATAGTTGTTCGAAAATGTCCACGTAGATGGTTGTCACGAGACCAATTACGTTGGCGGGTTTTAAGTACGCTTTACTCGTTTACAAAAGTTCGAACCTAAAGTGCTAGTCTGTTTTAATTCTGCAACACGTAATCCATCTTGAGAAGTCATAATTCATCTAAAACTAACTTTTACACTTTGATAAATAAACAACAAAGTGTTTACCCCTATGTGTTTACGAATCAATTATTGGTAAACAGTTGGCTTATAATAGCTGTGTTATTGGATGTATATGCCAGAAATCTTGTATTTATTTAGATAAAGTGTCAGATTAATTTGTAAATGAGTAAACTTATCATAAACTAACCATTATTATACATAATAATGCAAATTTAATTTTACACAATAATTTTATTAGCATTATTGTTTTTATTTTCATTATCTCTTATAGGTGCCAGTGTTTCTGAAGAAACGCGAAAATATTCCCTATTTCAATTAGTTGACAAGAGCACTAAAAGAATAATAGCAAAGGCTGCACGTAGCTCAGGCTCAGAAGCTACTCGTAAAGTAAGATTGCCTTTAAGTGGTAGTTTTCCTTATAGCCAAACAGTTTTTAACATCAAGACCAAAATACCAAATGAATTCTATTAATCGAATCTGCAACATAACCGGTTGGTTAAGTCATTCGATACCTCAATGGAATATATTGGATATTTGAAGACAGTCCGTTGGAGGTCCCTAAATTGCATTCTATTCTTCTTAGGATATCTGTGACCACAAAATAGTCTAAACGCTTTATGGATTAAAACTAACTCTAGTCAGTTTGTTAAGTATATATATATATACTAATTCTTTGTTTCTAAACCTATTGCAATTAATGGGTTTTTCTAACCAATACAAGAAGAATCAGTGATACTAAGAATTTTAACAGCCTTATTTTGTTGATTTTACACAATCTGCAGCTGTATAAAACTTCTGTTCTTTTGGAAATTCAATCTAAGATAACTAGTTTCTGTGAAAAGTAGAACTGTAAATTCTTGTCAAATGTCTTCATTGTTGCTTGAATTTGAAGTGTTTTACATACAGTACTGACCAGTTCTGTCAAGAAATATTGCTGTTCGTATCAAGCAGTTTGTTTTTACTTTGAAGGGAAATGGTTCAATGACTGTTAATGGTTGATTAGGTCCTGTCTCTGTATTACCTGATCGGATTATAAATGGTTATTCTTAATAAGTAAATTGTCCTCGATTTTATTTCTTAAAGTAGCTATAGCTTAATAATATTTGAGAATAAATCATTTCCACTACTCTAGACAGAAAATTAAAGTTCCGAGTTTTCAGCGAATGCATTGTCCGGAAAATCTACTTAAGCTCTTTAAATATTGTGGAATACACTTGATCCTGATGCAAGTTCAAATCCATAGGGTAACATCACTTTGTCAACGATTACAGAGAAATGCTGGGGGTGAATACAAACTAAGAAGAAACTTATGTTTCGGTTTTCTTTCAGACTGCCTTCAACTACTTAACACCATGACGTAATGTGTGGGATGATGACTTACATATGCTATCGGCCGAAGTACAACGTGATCGATAGAGTGCCATCAGCGTTATGTGAACAAACAAATATAAAAATTGTTATTCCCAAGAGATTATTTAATATTTAATCGACGCTAAATTAAACCATAAATTTGACAAATAGCTAAAAATTCATTTTAAATGGGTTATTGTCCAGGTATTTAAACGCTAGCATGAAATATTTTTGACTCTAAAGCGAAAATACGTAATGTTTAACGTGAACCAGAGTTAAGTTCTTGCCTAGGCAACGATTGTTTAAATCAACAACTGTACTGTTACTTTTTTTCTATCGTTTTCATTTGTTGACAGATTCAACAAAGGTTTCTAACAGAACGAGAAGCCATAAATCATATCGAGAAATCATGTGCATTATTACAGAGTGCTGTTGAGTCTCGATGTAAGAAAACTCGGGTAAGACCTTACATTCAATCACGTAAGGAGCAAGTCAGTTTTCCATGATTATACAAAACGTCTGGGATTAAAGAAAGCATTCACAGAATGCTGAATTTGTGTCTAAAATTTTTTATACTTGCCATGGGCCTGTTTTAATTATAGATACAGTGCTGTGGCTTCTTGAAATTGGAAAAGTAGCTGTTTATTAGTTTTCTAGTTGATGGCAGTTATTGATACAAAATATACTTCCGTTTGGGTAAATAAACACATTCCTTAAAACAACAAAGTCTCAAGTTTTCTATTTTATCCTCCATTTGAGGCCTACGTATTTTATGTTTTCAGTAATTACCCTTTTCCTGAATTAAAAGAAACAATTAAACATATGATTAAAACACCATGATCTGTACATAGTTACAAATAAACAAATGTCCTCAAGTTGTAACAGTGTCAAAATTATGAACAAACATGGTAAAAAGCACTAGATATACCAATGTGATATTGAGTTATCGTTAGTTAAGTATCAATTCGTGTGTTTAATAATAAACAAAATTCTACATTAAATTCTGTTTTACTGATGGTAAAAGGTGTTTCAACAATACTATAGTAATAACTAAATTTCACATGTCTTGCAGTATTTTGTATACTAACATTTTGCTTAGCTTGCTATTAACACATATAGCTACGAAAGACCGCTAGGCACTAACGCAAATTAGGAACTTTAATACCGCTACTGGTTGAACTCGTTAAGTTCTAAGTTGGATAATCACCCGATCTTCTTGCGTAGTTTAAATGTTCGTTGAGGAAAATCAAAATTTCACGTGATGACTTTAGAATATAAAATGCACTACAATGAACATAATCAATCTTTAGATACGATTTTAGACCAAGAAGGAATTCTGTCTTTCATTCGGCATGAAGCACTTTCATTATTTACTTACTTACGCCTGTTACTGCCAATGGAGCATAGGCCGCCGACCAGCATTCTCCAACCCACTCTGTCCTGGGCCTTCTATTCTAGTTCCATCCAATTCTTGTTCATTTTTTTCATGTCTATTTCCATTTCTCGGCGTAATGTGTTCTTTGGTCTTCCTTTCCTTCTTCGGCCTTGAGGGTTCCAAGTGAGAGCTTGCCTTGTGACGCAGTTCGGTGCTTTCCTCAATGTGTGTCCTATCCACTTCCAGCTCTTCTTCCAGATTTCTTCCCCCGCTGGAATCTGGTTTGTTATCTTTCATATTAAGTTGTTGCTGATAGTGTCCGGCCAACGGATCCGAAGTATTTTGCGTAGACAACTGTTATTAAACACCTGTATCTTCTGGATGATGGCTTTCGTAGTTCTCCAAGTTTCTGCCCCATACAGTAGAACCACCTTGACATTTGTATTGAAAATCCTGACCTTTGTGTTGATTGACAGTTGCTTTGAGTTCCAGATGTTCTTCAGTTGTAGATATGCTGATCTTGCTTTGCCGATCCGTGCCTTCGCATCTGCATCAGATGCACCCTGTTCATCAATGATGCTGTCCAAATATGTAAAGGTTTTTACATCTTCCAAATCGTCTCCATCAATTGTGATTGGATTGGTGCATTCTGTGTTGTATCGGAGAATCTTGCTTTTCCCTTTGTGTATATTGAGACCTACTGCTGCTGAGACTGCTGCTACACTGTTCGTCTTCGCCTGCATTTGTTGTTGCGTTTGGGATAGAAGGGCCAGATCATCTGCGAAGTCTAGATCGTCCAACTGCATCTTAGATGTCCATTGTATCCCGTGCTTCCCTTCAGACGTTGACGTCTTCATGATCCAGTCGATCAGCAGGAGAAAGAGAAAGGGTGAGAATAAGCAACCTTGCCTGACACCGGTCTTTATTTCGAACGAGTCTATCAATTGTCCTCCATGCACGATTTTGCAGTTTGATCCATCATAGGAATTCTATATGATATTGACTATCTTTTGAGGCACGCCGTAGTGTCGAAGAAGTTTACGTAGTGTTGTTCTGTCCACGCTATCAAGTGCCTTTTCTTAGTCAATGAAGTTGAGGTAGAGTGATGAATTCCATTCAATTGATTGTTCCACAATGATCCGTAGAGTTGCTTTTTGGTCTGTACACGATCTATCCTTACGGAATCCTGCCTGTTGGTCACGAAGTTGGGCGTCTACGGAGTCCTTCATCCTGTTTAACAATACCCTGTTGAAGACTTTTCCCGGTATTGAGAGAAGAGTGATGCCCCTGTAGTTATCACACCTGCTGAGAACGCCTTTCTTTGGTATTTTGATCAGAAATCCTTATTTCCAGTCTGTTAGTACTTGTTCCTCATCCCAAATCTTATTGAAGAGAATGTGGAGTATCCTTGCAGTTGCCGCTACGTCTGCTTTCAGTGCCTCTGCTGGAATGTTGTCCGGTCCTGCTGCTTTGCCACTCTTGATTTGTCTGATAACCATGCTGATTTCTTCAATTGTTGGTGTGCCAACATTGATTGGGAGGTCCGTGGGTGCTGCTTCGATGTTGGGTGAGTTCAGTGGAGCTGGTCGATTCAACAGTTCTTTGAAGTGTTCTACCCACCTGTTTTGTTGCTCTTCAATGTTGGTGAATACCTCGCCTTCCTTGCTTTTCACTGGTCGTTCTGATTCGCGTCGATTTCCAGAGAGTTTCTTTGTTGTGTCATACAATTGTCTCATGTTTCCTTCTCTTGCAGCCTTTTCCGCCGTCGTTGCTAAATCTTCCACATATTTACGTTTGTCAGTTCTGATGCTCCTCTCCACTTGTTTGTTTACTTCTGTGTATTCAGGTTGTGCCTTGGATTTTTCTGCTCTTGTTCGACTGGTATTGATTGCTGCTTTATTGCTCCTTCTTTCTTGAATCTTATCCAGTGTATCAACAGTGATCCATTCCTTGTGATGTTGCTTCTTGTGACCCAGGACCTCATGACATGTTGTAGTGATGGCCTCTTTGTTCCCCTTCCAGTTGCTCTCCATAGTAGTTCCTTCTCCATTGAGTAGATCATGAAAGGCCTGGAACTTGTTGCTGAGGATTATCTTGAATTTGTTGGGTTTGTTAGTATCCTGAAGAAAGGTCGTATTGAACTTTTGTGATATTGTCCACCCCATTGTCCAGTGCTTCTTGAGTTTCAATTTCATCTTAGCGACCAGCAAGTGATGATCTGATGCTATATCAGCTCCTCTCTTGGTTTTGACGTCCTCCATCGTCCTCCTGAACGTTTTGTTGATGCAAATATGGTCGATTTGGTTTTGCGTGGTGTGATCCGGTGAAGTCCATGTGGTTTTGTGCATGCGTTTATGTGGGAATATGGTGCCGCCTATGACCAGTTCATTGAAGGCACACACGTTTGCAGATCTCTCACCATTTTCGTTTCTTTCTCCTAGTCTACATCGTAGCATGATGTCTTCATATCCAGTGTTGTCCGTTACAACCTTGGTGTTGAAATCTCCTATCAGAATGGTCAGGTCCTTTGTTGGGCACTTCTCGATGATCGACTACAGCCTATTGTAGAATTGATCTTTAGCTTCTTCATTGTAGTCGTTGTTAGGCGCATAGCATTGGATGATGTTCATTGAAATGCCCTTTTTCTTTGTTTTGAAGGAGGCTTTGATGATCCTTGGTCCATGAGATTCCCATCCTATAAGCGTATTTTGCTCTTGTTTAGACAGCATCAATGCAACTCCTTGTGTATATGGGGCATTTTCTTTTTCATGGCCGGAGTATAACAGGAGCTCTCCTGTAGTTAGTCGTTGTTGTCCAACTTGCGTACAATGTGTTTCACTGATCCCAAGTACCTCTAGGTTGTATCTCCTCATTTCTGCAGCAATTTGTAAGGCTCTACCGGTGTCCCACATTGTACGAACATTCCATGTACCTAAATAAATGGTCGCTCTGTTTGTCAGAAGGGGCATCGGCCTCGTAACTTCCGAAGAAATTCGGCTTTCATCATGAGGCGTCATAGTTCTTCTAAAAGAAGACCTTCTGACTCCCAGGACAGAGTTTAGAAGGTTTGAATAATTTTTTCTGGTTAGCGTTTTTTTCAGCGAGTTAGTTTTCTACGGGATGGGGACGCAATAAACCTACCTTGGGAATAAGTTAGAATCTCGACACCATTACATGAATTTCTTTCCGATTTTCCACTTTTGGCATTTTATTTGCCCTATATTTTAGCAACTTTGATTGCTCTTTTAAATAAGTTCAGGTAAACGATAAAGTTTCTCACTGCTTAAATACGCAGATTTAAAGTCTACGTACTAAATTGCATGTATCAGTTTACAATAAATAGTTTAATTAAATGACCTATCGGAGTTTATTTTAACCCAACACTTTTAGTATAAAGGCTAACTATGTTCATTTTCTAATAAGCAATTTACCCAGTGCTCCATTTATCGTGAATTACCTAACAAGATCTTGTTAATAATTGATAATAATTGAAATCGCTAAATAACTTTACTGGTAACTTATAATCCGTTAATCAAGGTACTATTTATGAACTAAAATATAATCATCAGCATACTTATGTTAATTTTTACAGATGACTAAATTACACTTAAAGTACTCAAAAACATTGAGCATTATATACCTGAATACGTTAGAGAAGGATGTGTTTTATCCTTATTGCCAAAATCATGATGAATTCCTCATCAACTAACATTAAACGATAAACGGCTTCGTTTTCATATCCATTAGATAAAAGACTCTTCTTCAATCAAATTTGTTTTTATTAACAAATAAATTTAAAATTAGAAATCCTATAATACAGCTTTGAATTTTTTTTCTCGAAATTTCTCACTTTAATGTATTAAATTATTTTAATGATTATTTTTATTTTATAGAGATTTATATTGGCACAGAAAGACTTTATCTCTTTTATGAAAAAAGTATTTTTACAACGAAACACAATTAAACTTCATTCTGATATACCAACAACTAATTGTTCATCAAATGAATTACCTATCGATTTAATAATAAATTGTGAAATTGCATTTGATACATTAATTCATTATATGAATGATATATATGTAAGTTATGCACATCACTATCTTCATAATTCTACTTAGTTTCTTCAGTAAATTATATTTTCCATTAAAATTTATTTTCAAATTGATTGTATGTTAAATAGTAGGTAACAATGAAATTAAGCACTTATGTTACATACCATACAAAAGCTTACTAGCTATATGTATCTGGGTTTTAGTTTTGATTAACATAGCATTAATCGTATCAGATGTTCAGCTTAGTTTAATTTGTTGTGTTCGAAACTATTTTCAATTAAGTTTTTATTTCATTTAATTCTGATTTGTGGAACATTTAAAAACCTCGTTCATTCCAAATCACTGAATTATACTTCAAAATAAAAAGACATTTTACTACAGTATTCATAATATTACTTGACTTTTTTGGGTTGTTCATCTTACCTAATTATTCTTAATAAGGCTTTAATTGATCAATTTTGATTAATAAAACGTTATTTTTGTTTTTATCGTACTATTAGTGTTTTACATCTTTGTGTGAAGTCATCTAGATATGACTGATGATCTACATTTTACCAGAAAGATATTTAATGTATATTACACTGAAGACAGTAAAACAATTAGTGAAAATATAAAAACATTGGACAGCTATTTCAATACGGCAGAAAACCTTCTAAAGGATACGCACTCACGATCACAAAAAAAGTCATAGCTAAGGCCCTGAAGTTTCACGACAACCGGCAGCTTGAACAACAAATATTTATATGTGACATGACTGTAAATAAAAACATGATTAGTTCTAGGTGATTTGATTGAATTATCTTTTGTACTTGAATGACAGCAAGTTATTATGTTTGGAGATTGTAAGATGTGTCAACCGATGATTTCTCAAATATATTTGGTTTCAAATAGCATTTTACTCACATCTGATTACATTATACACCACGGATCATCATTGAATAATCAATTGAATAAAAATCATCACTGTGCATCAACTTGGTTGACTACAAGAAAGTGTTTGACAGTGTGCATAGGCGAACTGTATGAAAAATACACAGACACTGTTGGTGTGCCTGAGAAAATCGTCAACGTCATACGGAATTCTTATGACAGACTACACTGCACAGTTATGCATGGAGGACAGCTAACAGATACATTCCAAATGAAGATCGGTGTCAGACAGGACTGCTGACACCCTCCCTTTCTTCTTCTTCTTCTGGTGGTGGTTGACTGGATCATGAAAACCTCCACTCCACATCTGAGGGGAAGCACGGAATACAGTGGACAGTTTGGATGCAACTAGATGATTTGGACTTCGTAGGTGACCTAGCTCGTCTACCTCATACACATCAACAAATTCAGGTCAAGACACCTGCTGAAGCAGTAGTCTCTAGAGAAGTAAGCATCAACATACATGACGGAAAAGTAACATCCTCAAATACAACACAGAGAACACCATCACACTCACACTCAATCGAGAAACTCTGGAACACGTGGCAACTCCCACATGTCTGGACAGCATCATCGATGAACAAGAAGGATAGTCAAATCAAGGGCGAATACATGGAACTCCAAACAACTGTATGCATGCCAACACAAAATTCAGAATCTTCAATACGAACGTCGAGACAGTCTCGATGTACGGAGATGAGACCTAGGGAACTACCACAACCAACATCGAAGTAGTACAGGTATTTATAAACAGTTGTCTACTCAAGATACTCAACGTCCGTTGGTCGGATACCATCAGCAACAATCTACTGTGTGAGAGAACGCACCAACTTTCATCTGAAGAGGAACTTGGGCAAACGCGTTGGGTGTGTATAAGACATACACTGAGGAAATCATCAGACTATGTCGTGAGGTGAGCGCTGAATTGGAATCTGGAAAACTTGGAAACTGAAAAGAGGAAGACCGAGAAACACATTGTTTCGAGAATCGGAAGCAGATATTGAAAGAATAAATGGTGACTGGAGATAGCTCCAAAGGATGAGTGAGGACAGGGTTGGCTGTGGAATGCTGGTGTGCGACCTAGGTTCCCCTACGATGGTTAGCAGGCGTAAGTAAATTAATAAATGATTTCTTTATGGACCAGATGATGAACATTTAATATATTATACACCTGTTTTTTCATGAACTTGTGTTGCAGTTGAGAAAAATGTCATCTAGTGTAGTTAATCGTTTAAATGAATTGAAAAAATTAATAAATCTTTCAAAGCGCCTTTTGGATAAATACGATAATACAGAATTGAACATTGTTTTGATGGAAGCTTCAATGAAAAACCATAAAAATGTTGTAAGTTCAGTCAAGAAATATTATCTTTTCAATGATTAACTTTACATATGTGTATTGCTTCACATTTTATGAGAATAATTTATGGAATGTTTTGTCACAAATCTACAACTTGCAATTTTCTTTCTTCCTCGTAGTTTACGATTTGTAAAATAAAATGTAACATCACACTTACATATCTGGTAATTTGTTGTAATCAAGACAATAAACAATTCCATTTTAGAGGACATCAGTAAAAAAAATAACATCACATCATGACGAACGATGAAAGAACAAAGTAAAAAACACAAAAGAATCAAGTAGTATAGGTATTTCATGGATTTTTCTTTACTTATGCATGTTATTTTTATAGTACAAAAGATACACTAAAAAACAAAGTTAACAATTCAAGTTATGCGTTACTAATCAAAAAAAATTATATTGAATGACATCATTCCTGGTATATTATTCAAGGAATTCCAGTAATTCTCTATATGTTGTTCCAGTGAAAGTTTTAGCTTATAGTGTGCTATCACACAATTGATAGGTTATTTTTTTCTTACATATTGAGTTGAGTTTGTTTTGGTAAAATACAAGTTTAACTGTATGGCGTGAATTAAAAGTGGTAATTTGATAGTTTATACGGAGAAGTAATAAAGTAAACTGGAAAACCCAAAAAATTAATACTTAGTTTTCTTGCATTTTCTATGCCTAATCCCATAACAATACATCGATTTTACCCTTAGAAAAACATTTTTTAAAGCAATATAAATAAAGTAAAATAAAGTTTGGTTTTAAACCCATCAACGTTAAGAGACTCATTTACTTAAATCCCGTCATAGAGTTTTCTTTCAGTATGAATTTATTCGCCATTATTATTCATTGTTACATGAGATCTGTACCATAGTACACATAGAAGTAGTGGAAATATACCACTTAGCTTATCAACTAGCAGATAATATCTTATTGATTACATTTATAACTAACTATGAGACCATATATTGAGTGAACTGATTATCTACTATGTTGAGCTATTTATTTTTTCGATATAATTATATTCACTCGTTACTAGGTTTGGTTTACAGTCGCATGATTGTAACCATATTCTGTTTAAATTCATTAAATGATATTTATCTCTGTTGGCAACAAAATAACGAGTAGTTTGAAATTTCACCCAACTTATATAATCAATTTTATTGTAATCTACTTTTACGAAAGCATTATTCATTAGTCGAAACAAGCTCACCGTAATCAAAGAGAGTCAGAGGAATCTACAGAATTATAATTGTTTTACTTGCTGAAATACGTATTTTGCAAACATTTAAACTTCTGTTAATAAATGTTGTCATAGGAGTTTCATTTCTATTCCTTCTTTGTCGAAAATGCAATCTGTGGTTAATTTACTATACTTCAAATAAATTAACGCGTTAACTAACAATAAAAATTTACTAAAAAAAGTCAATTCTCACTTGATAAATGTTCAGTAGTGTTAGACGAAAGTATACAGAAAAGCTTATCGTCAACATATATCGTCAACGATGTAAGACGATGAGTTTCCTATGCACATATCTTTTCGATAACTGATTATGAATATAAATCCTAAAATAATATGTTATCAAAACTGAGTTGACGTATTTTACATAACCAAGAGAGTTACGCTTAAAAATAACGTTCAAGTTATGAATGAATCTCTTGAGAGTAATTTTTTTTCCACGAATATCTTACTTAATTAAGTAACTACATAAACTTATACCTTATCTTGAAAATTGTTTACCACGCTTTGTTAAGAAATACAATACAATATTTAACATTTGCTTATTATTCAGGTTTTTATATTATGAAATTTAATTTTCATTTGAACATTTACAAATCATACATTTATTATTGTTATATGTAGCCTATATTAGGATATGATAATAATAATAATCATCAGTAAATCAACTTCTAAAGCCAGTTACATCTTTCAGTGATTAATTTCTGTCATTAATACAATTAGGTATGAATACAAAAAAAGTAGAAATTTCACTTCTATACTATAAAGATATCGATGCTTTTCTCTTAAATAAATTAATTAGAAATTGTTTCTTTTGTCAAGCAAGCTGTTGTTAATATGCAATTACAAAGAGAAGACAATATACGAAATCTGTCTACTTTACAGTTTGGACTACAACATATCCTACCTTCATTGGTAAAAAGTGCAAATAATATTTTATTATCAGCTAGTCAATACGCTTTTATACTTCAATCAAATCTTATGCAAGAAGCTGAAAATTTAGTTCACAAGTGTATTAACGATGTAAGTTCTAAAAATAAATGTCATAATGACCTTGATTTATCATTTTCAAGTTTACCATTGGTTCAAGTAATAGTGAATACAGTCTATGTAAACAGTATGAATTGTACGAATGTATTTATCATTGAGCTATTTAGTACATACTTTAAGCTAGCATAGCAATGGTGTGGTTTCTACGCTTATACTATCCCAAGTTTGAACATCATATCAACTGGTTTAAAATCCCTGATTTAGTGGATTACTGATATCCTGTAAATAAACACACGCGGTAAACACTATGAACAACTCTTTTTGATTACCTTAAACTCTTGTTTTTATTTCAACTTATTATAGTGAGAAATTAGTTTGTGTGTCTTAGAATGGATTAAGAAATCCGTTCAAAAGCATTTTTTTTCAACAAAATATCTTTCCAAATAACTTTAAGTATAGTGTTTTAATGCAAGATATGGTTTTAGATAAAAATATAGTGTTGGACAAGTAACTCCTTCTTAAGTTTCAGTAAAAACTATCCAACTAGTGAAAGGTGTTCCTGTTAATCGTGGACGAGTTGGTCAATAATATTCAGCAAATTAATAAGATTCAAATGACCACATTATTTAGATTACTTGAATTCAGAAGTCTCATACCATTTGGAAAAAATCAACAAAAGTTACTGATTTCGTCTTGTTTAACTTTATGAATACATCAATACTTTCACAACAAACTTCCACTTTATGTAGTATAATGATAAATGCATGATTGCTTTACTGAAAAAATTGTTGTTCTTTTGAATAAAATATTTGTGCAAATTGTGGCAAACGTTTCATAAATTCTAGACAATTCTAAGCGTTGTTAGACAACACTTTTTATTCATACGAAAACAATAAAATTTAGCTTGTGAATCTGTTTAATTTAAATCAATAAATCATGTGCAAAAGAAGTAAGTTTACATACTTTATTCATCACAAGCACAAGTGACATAATGAATAGAAGATTTACAGAATTATAATGAATTAATTTTTCATAAGTTCTACATCAACAATTAATTGCATAATTAATATGTGCAATTAATACTGTGTTGATTTATGTTTTCTATCAAATAATTCTAACAAACTATGAAATCTTATGTGGTCTGATCTTTAAGACGGTACAAATTTTATTCTTTTTCAGTAGTAAATATAAATGTTCTTGTTAAAATCAATAAGTTAAATGAAATGTAATTCTATGTATTTATAATAATACTATTAGATCTTCAGAAATTATTTAAACAGTAGAATACAACACAGTTTTTTCTTTATGACATTATGTTTGCTGACATCACAACTATTTTAATCTATTAAGCAGATCCTTTTACGAAATCCGTGCAGGCCTAGAAAATTTTGGTTGTAATCATTATTTTGATCATTTTTGCAAAAATGGTTAAATTGATGGGTCAAACAATGTATGGTTGATGTTGATATTCTATTATTAGTATTAATGCTGAAACAAGGTATACCAAAAACACTTATAATGTTTTCCAGCTCAATTCATATATTCACATATAACGAATTAGATATTATTTATTTATCATCACGGCAAAGCCTCTTTTAACAGAACGTTTTTCTTGTATTTTATTTTGTTCAACTGAACTGATTATGTTGGGGACGATAGATCCCCAAAACTCAAATTTTGTAATTTACTTATCGATTAAATGTGCAGATAGGTCAATTGATGAACTATCGATTAAATGTACAAATAGGTCAATTGATGAACTATCGATTAAATGTTCAAATAGCAGTCAATTGTTGATTAATGTTCAAAAATCTTCCATGACAATATCGATTGTAAATATTTGTATAAATACGCTTGATTTGTATGCTTGATCTGATCTGCCTGCCTGACTTGGTATCTGCTGTTGCTTGTAGAATATACTTTCTACGCCTTACCAAGACTTCTTGATCGAGTTAGCTGAGTCGAAGACAACGGACCAGAATAGGCTATCGAGTCGCTGAATCATTGATCCTTCGTTTCGTTCGAGTAAGACGCATAAGTAATCGCATTCAAGCAATAACGAAACATAACAGATTACACATTCAGTGCTAAATTGTGAGTATTTATACTAATAGACGCACTCTGCCTAAAGCACTTGGAGGGTTACCACCAGTTCCAGTCCCTAATAAGTGAAAAGGTTTGGGTATCGGAATAGTAGCACGTACTGTGAAAAATAAGGTAATTAAAAACAGTAATCAGAAAAATTTATTTGGACCATTTAAACTCTGAACTGGTAGTTGAAGAGTGTTCATATAGACGAGTTATGACACCTCATGATGGAAGCGGAACTTCTATCGAAATCGCGAAACCCACGAGCATTCTGAAAACCAGATCAATAATTAGTATCAATTCATGGAATCTTCGGACAATGTGGGAGACTGGGAGAAACATTCAAGTAGCTGTAGAAATGTGAAGAAGCACTGTCCTGAAAAAGATTTTATATTCTTAAATGCCAAGGTTGACATGGACAACATAGGGTATTAAGAAGTCATGAGACTAAATGAATTTTAAAAAAGAATCAAGGATGACCAGAGGCTTATAGATCTGTTTATTTTCAATAACACTATGGTAGCGTAGTTGTACTTGCCCTCACAAATACAAACACAAGACTACATGAGAACACACTACAGAAAACAAGACAAATCACATTTACATCAATAAAAAGTTCATGAGGTTCATGGAAGTCATAGGAACAAACAAAGAAGCTGATATAGATTCAGATCAACACCTGGTGGTGCCCTGGCTGAAACTGAAACTGGGAAACATCGGGTAGTCAGACAAGCAGCAATATAAGCGTTTAGTATGGTCAGCCTTCGAGACACTGACAAACTCACTGAATTCAAGATAGCTCTCAGCAACAAGTTACAAGCCTTACTAGATATGCTCGAAAAAACGGAAACCACCATAGCGGATAACTAGAAAAGGATTAAAGGAATGATAACACCAACATGTCAGGAGGGCCTGGTTCCAATGAAGCACCAGAATATAAAGTTAAACTCTATTAATAACCTAGGCATCATTCAAGAAAGGAAAAACAAGAGGACGGCAGTCGACAACAGCCGAACAAGAACAGAGGAACCCAAGTCACATGCGGAATTCACAGAAGTAAACAAGCGAGTAAACGACAGAATTGGAGGTGATAAGTGGAAATATCTAGAAGGCCTGGCAACTACAGTAGAACGAGCTGTAAGAGAAGAAAATATGAGAGAACTATATTATGCAATAAAGAAGCTCTCAGGAACAAAATACGGCAAACCAGATATACCAGTCAAGGGCTAAATGGTAACCAATCATTTGGGTTCAGAAGCAGCAGAACTGATCGGTAAAGCATTTTTAAAAGAGTTCTTGAATAGACCAGTACCTCTGAGTCCATTAGATACCGAAGCCACACAAACAAACCTCCTAATGGATTACATCGTGCCAATAATGGAAATCAGCAAAGCCATTCAAAAAACCAAAAATGTCAAAGCAGCAGAACCAAACAGTATGTCAGCTGACGCATTGAAATCGGATATGGTAGTAACTACGAAGCTGAGTCACGTCCCCTTCACAAAGACTCGATGAATGAATAAAAAACTCCAATGTCCAGCACGACTTGGATTACTAAGTGTTTTTAGTTTTATGTAAAAGCACACTGTTTATGAATAAATAGTTTGTGAACTGTTTTCTCCGTCTGGTCAACTTGGTATACTAATTGATATATAGAATAATTGCAATTTTGAGAAACTTTTGAAAAAGCAGTTAAATTTTAAGACTTTACGAATAATTTTGCACAGACATTAATATTTAATTGTTTATATAGTAGAACGTCTTTAATTAAAGTGTTTAAAACATTTTATATTCTCAACAGACTGAAAAAGACAATATATCTATACAACCTGGATGTAATATATCTCCTGCAGAACTTATTATTCGTCTAGATAAATTAAAATCTCTTCTCTACGAAACAAAACGTTGTCGAACTCACAGAATATATGAAGTACCTAGTGTATTTAAATGGGAAGAAGAATCAACGTGTAGTGACAAGAATAATTTACCTCATCAGGAATCTCGTAAGATTTTAGAATTTTACGCTTGAATAGTTCTTTTATTTATTTCACGTATTATTTGTCAATATGAATGGGTTATTAAGGATTTAAGGTCATTAAAGTAATGATAAACCAGCTGATTTGTATTTGAGTATTAAATAAATTGAATAGTTTAATTATTATCTCGATTCCTGAGTAAAAAAGAAACATTTATAAAATTGTCTGAAGCTCAATAAATTGATTATTTATTTTTGCAACTATTGTAATTAATAAACAAATCAGTGTTCTGTATTAGAACTGAATCCACTAGTAACAAATATTTCAAGTCTGTATTAGAAATTATTGTTGTCTTTTTAATGAACTTTAAAACCAACTGAATATTCGAAATAATTACTGTTGCTTTATGATAAGTTAGTTGAAAGTATTAGTTGTTCAAATTTTATATGCTAGGTCACTTTTTTTTCAGTGTTTTATTGTATTAACTTCAAACTGATAGTCCAAATGTTTATAATATTCTAAGTATTATTGTTGACTAGTCGGCTTTATTTTTGTTCCATAACACAATTTTTCTTTGAAATAAATTTATATTGATAGAAATTAATCAAGCTCTGTAGGTTTTCAACTCTTACTTCTTGTTTTATTGACAAGAGGAAATGTCTATACATATATGCTGCTAGTAAATGATTAATTAAAGCAAGTCTAATTACATTTAATATTAAGCTAGATTTTACAACTAACACCTTTTCTGTAAACAATTGAGTAATCATGACCATAGGGTTCTTGTGATACAATTTATGAGACAAAAAACAACACAGTCCATGCATAAAACAATTAGCATTAGTTCACCGGACTGACTGAACAAAATTGCACTTGTTTGATTGAGTAATCGAATGCACAAATCATGTATTATTTTCTTATAGCTGTACTGGCTTGATAGTATTTACCGCTTTAATCTTGTTATTCCACTTTGATTACAGAAAACAAAGTATGTTAGGGATAATTGTTGAATGAATTTAGTCATACACCCATTGGTATTATTGTGTTGAATAAGCATAACTGCATGATTAACTTGAGGAAAAGAACTTTGTATTAGTTTAATTTTGAGTCAAACTGAAAGTTTCAAAGTAGTTCATGTCTATACATTTTCCGAATCCAGTATTGTGTAGTCGAAACTGAAAAATATAAAACAATTTATCACATTCTCCATCTTCACACTTTGATCTACTGTAAATTTGTGTTTAATTGGTTATATATATTTGACAATTTCTTAAATTTATTTAGCTGTAATGTCAGTTAGCAGTCATCTATCAAATTCAGATATAGATATTCAACCCTGTCAAACAATTTCAACTAGAAGTGTTATTAAAAATTCCTTATCACCATATCCGGAAATGAAAATTATTGTAAGTTTTATATATATATTTTCACATACTGTTAAAGTTCTATGGTGAACGTATTAGTTTAGTTTCGATTTAGTGTACATTGTAGAAATAGACAAAATATAAGATTTTTTAAATCTTTTATGGAACATATTTTATCACAACGTTACCAATTAATTAATCATGACTATTGTTAAAGCTTTAGATCTAGAGGAATAGTCAAATTTATAATGAAACCGTTAGGATTATGTAAAAACATCATTTCATGTTGATATACAGGTTCTTACTGATATAAAAATCCTCCACATTTTTTCAATTTCCAATGACGCATAACATATTCATATTCATAAGTATTCCCTCTTTACTGATCATCATTGACGCACTAATCTAAATAATAAATTCAAAGATTTATTTTTGTAAAAATGATTATTCTAATGACATACATAAATGGTCTATGATGTTTGTTTTTTTTCTCGTTATATTTACATCGAAAATATGGTCTCTTAATACTGATTGTTATTGAAAATAAAGATGTGTCTATTTTCCAAATACCTTCCACATGTTTTTCAACTATTTGTGGGATGAATCCTAAGCATAAAACTGGTACTGTTTGTTTTTTAATTCTACCTTCATGAATTCTTGATATTAAGTAATGAATTGTCTATCCATTATATGCTGTAATCAAAAGTATTAATATTTCTTAACTAATTCAGTGTTATTTATTACAATTAAGAAAAACAACGACTTTCTATGGTTTTAAATCACAAAGTTCTTTCATTCAAAAGAAAACTATTTGAATAGAAAGCATCTTTGTAGTGGTGAATATTTTGAGGGATTTCGTGAATAGTAATCAACCATGTCTTACTACGTGCTTGGTGTCCAAACTCTGTTTCATTAAATGTTATGCCTAATGTGTAAACTTAATTACATTGAATTCAGTGTTTTAGGATGTGATAATTAAAATAAATTCTCATACAAACAGATGGAAGTATTGCGGTAGACAAATGGATATTATTAAAAATCTGAACATCGTTTTAATGTTTCTCAGAAATTGAATGTGGAATTTCCTGGTCAACTGAATGTCAGCCTTTTAATGTACGCTGAAGGTAATTAACTTTCCAACCAGTGACTAAGAACATATGTAAATGCAACCGATTATTTACCGATAGAAATTCATCCATAATGTGTTTAGAATAATTCGTCAAAACACGTGACTGTGGTTTTTTGAGATATAAGACTTGGAACTTATAGATATTTATGTACTACATTAAGGTATGATTTTTCATCTAAAAACTAGTGTTATAACTAGAGTAATGTAGAATAATAATTTGGTGTGAATAATGCTTTGTGACTCGATGAGTATGAGTAAGCTGCCATGGAACTTGGGTATACTTCTGACCAAAATATACTTATATTTTTCAACGTGTGGTCCATTACTTTTCACTTTAGAAAAAATATGAAGCTGATATGTCAATCATTTTGAAGGCAGCTACTTTTTAATGAGTGGTAATGCTGTTCAAGCATAGAATATAAACACTAAAGTTTATTATGAGAAGTTTATGTTACAGTAGTATTGCAGTTACAGTTCTGATATTTCTAAATAAGAATTTCGTATTTCAAAGTGTGACCTACTAATTGTCATTATTTCACTTCTCATTTATGTCATAGGCTAGTTAGTGTCTTTTACGGATTCAAATCCGTACAATAAAATTTAATTTTAGAATTAGATTTGATCGATATTCAAAAGCATTTTCAACGAATAAGTGTCCATGTGTTAATTGTTTAAGTAATGGGTGAGAACATTTTGAATAAGGAAGATAGTTCTCTTACCACAATAGTTACTAAATCGAGATACACTTTTTTCAACATCTCCGATTATGAATTTATCATACAGGGAAATTCTTAACATGGAACTAATATTAAAGTGATACTGTGTAGTGCCATGTTAATGCATAGCTTATTCTGGTGAGAGAAAACAGCTCACCAATTTTAATCGATTAGACTAAAATCCACGTTAATCAGCGGACTATTATTTAAGATAGAAACGTTTACGCAAACTATAATATTTCATTTCATATATACAGGTAATTAAAAACATTTTTTGAAAAATAAATTCATTATTATTCGAATTCCTGCACTGTGTAACAGGCAAACTGTATACTCAAAGACTAAATTATTACCGCGTTAGTTATATAGTTTCAATATCAGTTTCTCTAGTCAAGGTTAAATTTAGACATGAACTGTAGGTCTTCTGCAACATTGGTCTTCTAATTTCTGGAGATATTTTGAATACTGTTCTAAAATTGGACTGACTTTTACCTTACAATTTATTCTTGACGGCTTTTTCTCTATTATATAGTATCGTGAGTCTGATTACCAACAGGAGAAAAAACTGTGCAGGATTTCTTCAGGTGATGACATTAGATATATAAGTGTGAAAGAACAACCTTCAACTTCAAAACTCTGTATGAATGATGATTTTCCCGATAAACCAACTCACAGAATTACTCATGACTTTTCGTCTAAAAATAAAAATGTTCTAATATTGTCCAAAGGTCAGTTAGTGACAATCATAAGATCTTATGGTCAAAATGGGAATACTAATTGGAGTTTAGTCAAATTTCATCCATATGGTGAAATTAAATTCGTACCAACTAACTATCTCGAAGCAATATGAAATTCTTTTTTTGGTTTCATTTAAAATCATTCATTTGATAACGTCTTACTCATTTTTACAAACTAGTAGTTTTTTGGTATTAAACCATATAGTGGTTCTAAATCTTGAACGACACATATGTCTAATATTCCTTTTGTCGGATGAATGACTTCAGTTCGTTTACTTTGTTTAAGTTAATTAATCATATTAAAATGAACGATTACTTTTGAATGTTTTAATTACAGTTGTCCTATACAGATGGGATTAAGTAGTAAAATATAGAGATTATTCCATCAACTGCTTTAACTTGTGTTCATTGTATAAATATAAAACATATAGTGAACTAGTTATTTTTTTCGTTTTCATTGTAAATCAGAAGATATCTGAAGCATGTCACGCTTTTATTTCTATTGAACCAAGCATTTTTTTAAGTAACGGACTTTAAATGCACTTCATACATTTAACTTCATTTTTAGAATTTAGCTAAACACCATGACTTTTAAAAACCATTTAGCAGTAACATTAGAGTTTACCGACTTCAGAATAATCATCCACATGGAGAAAGTATACTTGGTATAAATTACCTATTTAGCTTCAGTTTGATTAAATAGGAGTCTTAAAATATTAAAATATCATGTGTATACGCCATACACTATTGATATATTTTAGTTTCACATGATATACAACAAGACATCTAAAACAACAGCTAAACACGAAAAATATTGATTCATGACAATGCGTTATTACTAAAGTTTTCTTTAGAAAGATAATCATATTTAAGGAAAACTTGAAAATGTAGTTTGAACTCGTAAGATTTATTCAGTTGAGAAACCTTAGTACTACTTAGATAGACATCCATATTAATCAACACAATGGTTTTAAGCAGATGAATCAATGTTTATCAGACAGTGTCGAATAAGTAGACAGAGGGTAAATCAGTAAGTCAAATTTTAATTGCAGACGCATTCAGAAGCGGCAATCAAACAAATTAGTTAGCAATTATAATGTATACAAACAAGCATTCTGTTTTAAAAGACATTGATGAAAAAATAAAAATCCTGTATGATATATGCTACAGCCAATTCTCCCCTATAATTGTTGTCTATAATGTTTTTCCATTGAACACGTTTTGCGCCGCTTTAAAGAATTCTTATAGCTCATAATCAGATGCGAAATGGTAGTGGTAAATAAACCCACAAAATCAGTAGCTCTGTACGTCTTCGACATTTTTGATTCTGACCCCATTAGTTTTAATGTACAAATCTATCTGAAGGCTCTCGGTCACGTATCCGTACCAGATCACGAATGGGTACGTCGTGCTATGCATCTCTTACAAATGTTATCCAGATTAGAACAAATGCTCCTTGATATTTCGATAGCTTTCCAGACATAACTTCGAACCCCTTCATTTCTGTCTTCTAATTTGACTGAGTTGATATCCTCCAATTACGAAGGTGTTGGATGTAAAGGTGTTTTCAAACTCCGAATTCTTATGACGTCTTCAGTAGTGAGCTCGCCGTTATCTGGTACACCAAACAGTGGACTGTGTATCTGTTCCCTGTTGAAACATTGTATATCACTAAGTGATTTTTATTTTCACATATTGTGATATTGTTTTCATATTTTCGGATATCTTTTCTCGCGCAACGTTATGCTTGTATTCATCATGACGGAATAGACTCTTAAGTTATGTGAGATTAAGACCCTTTCGCCTCCCACATTTTTTGTTGATGCAATCATGGCCCGACAACATCAAAGCCTGGTTCTGCTATGCAGAGGCTGGCTTCCACGAGCACGGCGTGACCGATCCACGTGCACAACTTACCTCAGTAGAGAAGGTACTACCGTGTGATCTCAACTGGTATGTTTACTAGTGATGTTTCGGAACCTTCCGAAACTTTAAAAAACTATCCCTGAACGTGGATACCTAGCCGAACGACAAAGTTGAGACCAACTCTTCCACAACATTACTCAGCAAGAAATGTTGCTACGAATGAGAGGCTTTTGGTCAACGGACATTTGACGAAGGCCTGCTGAAACAGCAGTCGTTTGCTAAGCTCCACAAAGAAGCTCGTCACGAAAAAGATCTGTCATTAGACCGAGAGAGGCAGATAATCCTAAAGGGTGTCAGAAACACAATAAGTATGGTAAGTCTTCTCGAAATTGCACAAAACTCTGCATTTTTCCGAGCTCTGAACCATCCACCACGGAAAAATCTTCGGTAAACTTCCCGGCCGGCACGCGTCAACGGCAACCGTGGAGAGTAAACATAGCCGCTTTTGTACACAACTGATGTGATGAAGAAAGTTCGCCATCTCGTAACCAGCGATGTTATATACCAATTCACGACTACATGAACACTTGTATTCGCGAAATCGCACCGAATAGCTCCCGAAAAACTAAGGTTGGCCAAATTCGAGTTTCACCATATGAAAAACTTAGGAATCAGTCGGCCATTGAACGGCTCATGGGCATCTCCCTTACAATGGTCCGTAAAATGGACAGCAACGATTGGTGTCCGATCGATGACTCTCGGTAACTGGATGCGAAAACCATTCCTGATCGGTACCAGTTGCTTCACATACACGATTTGAGGGCTACCTTGTAAGATGCAACTGTCTTTTCGAAAACCGACCTGGTTAAAGCGTATAAGAAAATTACCATGGCTGCTAACTACATTCCCAAAATCTCTATCGTCACCCCCTTCAGACTGTACAAATATTTGCGCATACCTTTCGGTTTGAGAAATGCCGCACAAACTTTTCAGGTCTCAATCTCGTATATGCATACATGGATGAGTGCTCTATTGCACGTCTGAACAGAGAATCTCATCTTCAACACTTGGACCTTGTTTCTGAACGACTGCAAAGGACAGCGTTACTGTGGACACTCAGAAATGTCAAGTTGGCACCGACTACCTATATTTTCTTAGACACGCTACTGATATTCAGGGCATCCGCCCCTGAAAATTAAAACGGCGCCCATTCTGGCTTAACAAGAACCGACGGTAGCCAAGCAATTTCGTACGTTCGGTGGCCTGGTAGGTTTCTATCGACGGTTTATGAATGTTATGTATGTCATGGGACGTCTAACGGACCACCTTCGTAGAAATGAACAAATCGCCAATTTAAACGACAGCGTGAAGAAAGCATTCTCCACACTTAAGGAAATTCGCATGGCAGATGAATTACATACGTTTGTAAAACTGCTTGATCAAGCCCTCACTTGCACTGATCTTGCACGTACGAACACATCTTCGCCCCACTCAGACATCATAGGCTCTCTCCATGTCTAAACCAAAATGGTCTTCAATTTCAGTTTGCCTTATTTTTCCTGCTTTGCAGTTGTATTAGTCCATTTTTCCACCCTACTTCTTCACTTGAAGTAGATAGGTAACTCGTTGGACTTATCGATACTGTCCAACTAAACTCGGTCGCCAAGGGACACTCACTACCACCCTCAGAAAGTCAAGAGGACCGCACAATCGACTGCCTACTACCAGTGGTCTTGCATCTATAGATCCTGTTACCAATCAACTGGTTAGGACAACACAAAATAACATCAGCACCATGTTACTGTGAGTTTCTTCCTGTTTATCCTGTATTAACTTTTTACTCTTCTGCACATTATGTTGACTGGAAATTAATATTTCTCCACTCGTTACCTTATCCACAACTCATATACTTCTATACTTTTCCGCTTGCTTTAATAAACAACCATCCTACATCATACCCTTCTTAATGCTTATACTCTGATTGGCAAACTATACTTTATACTATAGTCAACAAAAGCACTGCATCGATGCCTCACCCACAGTCCATAGCTTGTAACTGCCTGATAAGCTTGTAAAATGATACTTATAAAAATAGTGCTTTCCAACAGGATGTGAAACACAGAGGACTGCGTGAGGTATGACATATATACAAAAATAAGCTTAAATGAGCCTAACATCACAAAAGGAGTGAGGGTGGAGTTACTGACCAGCAAGTATTGATGGCGAGGGCGATAACTTCAATCCAGCCGTGTTTGTGGGGGCAGAACATTTTGTACATATCAGGCTCTTTATGATTTTTTTCCTACGCTCACCACTAAGACTCACGTTTCCAATACTATGCTGGATTGGCTATTCTACTAAGACAACCTATAACATGCTAACTCGGACTTTTACACTAGGATTGTGCGGCTGGCACCGGATAGACAAAAATAGGAAAAAAATAGACAGCAAAAGATATAGTCATTAGTATTCTTAACACTTCACCCTCTATATGCACACTCTCTTCTAATAAACAGCTTTCCTTGTACCAGCCTTGACTTTCTTTCCTTCATGTGAGCTTACTCCAACTTGTTAAACGATAAAACTCATTGTTCTTTATTACTACATTCTATAATATGGAGCCTCTGACTTCATTTCACTCTAACAAGAGATAATATGAATTTATTCTAATTTATTATACATCTGTTCGTTCTACTACACAATGTTAAGCAACGTTTGGCGTTCATATCCAAGTGCCTTGCTGCTCTTCTGTTTAGCTATTTTTCTTCTTCAGAAATTTGCTCTGAGGGCACAGCTATGAAACTTCTGACGTCAATCGACGCGCGCTATCTAGAAAGGACAGTGGTATTGTTTCTCGTTGAATTAGTTAACTGTTTTGATCGTGAATTACCTATCAAAACTACGATTTACACTTTAATTGAATCTACTACAGTTAAAGTGATATTCTATTGAGTTTTTTGGCTTTTTTGTATTTATTACATTCGAAAGCATTCTTGGTCTGTATCAAAGTACTTTAGTTAAGGTTTGAAATATTGCTAAAGTTTGTCTTGTGGTAACCTTTTATTCGTTGACTGACATTTGTGTTCATACTGTGATCATATTGTGTGTTACACCTTGATCAGACTAAAATGGTTGGTAGTACTCACAAATCCGGACAACCAAACTGTTTGTTTCCTGTGGAGGAGGGAATGCAGTGTGATGAATGTAATAAGTGGTTCCACAAAATGTGCACCCGTTTAAGTCCCAC